CCTGTCCCGGCCTCTGTGCTGGGATTAAGGCATTTGCCATCACCACCTGGATCCTCTGGGTCTTAAAAATGACAACTACTTTACATTCTAACACTGGTCTGTGAGCTGGTTCTAATTTCATCACTTTCACTCATGGTTTTACAATTTTTTTCCCTCAAAACTAAACCTTATTGTTTTCCTATCTTTTATGGTTTGAACTTTACAGCTTTTAGAAATAACAAGTCTGGGGTAAAGATGGGATCTTCAAGATATTTTTTCCCTTTGATAGGCATGGAGACTTGACAGAAAATGTTAAAGGAACTCCTTGAACTAAAACACCCAGGGTCAGTTGAGGGACAGGCTCATATGGGAGCAAGCTCATGAACTCTGGGGTAGGTTTTCCCTGACTTTATTCACTGCTAATAATTAAACAGAAACTTGTGGAATTTTTTCTTCCTGCCTAACCCTAATTTTATCCTTGTCCTGTATGTACAGTCTTCTAAACTTAAGTTGTTTAGGCTTAAGATAAGATCTTGTTCTGCAGTCTAGGCTAGCCTGGAACTCACAAGTGACCCTCCCTTAAGAGACCAGCCTGGGTTACCCAAGGGAGTTCCTATCTCAAAACAAAACTCCTGCATGCACAGGTACCAAGAAACAGGAGCAAGACACAGAGAGAAGACTATGACTCTCCAGAAGCAATGAGAACTTGCTCTAGGGGCATTCATCTCCTACAGATTATTATATAGTTGCTCCTGAGCACTCAAATTAGGAAGCTGATAATCACAGCATACTTAAATACAACATCTCTGTTAGTGTTAGTACTTACTTTTAAAAGACCTTCTATCAAGCAAACATTATCAGCAGAACTCTGTATATAAAGTCCAGCCCTGGCCCAGCAAGCAGATCAGTGGACACAGGTACTTGCAGCCAAGCCTGATGACCTGAGCTTGATTCCCAGAACCTACAAGGTAGAACAGAACCAACCCCCACAAATGGTCCTTTGATTTCAACATGAATGCTGTGGCATGTGTGTCTCCATACCAAAACAAAAAACAAAAAAAAAAACAAAAAAATTTTAAAGGCCAATTTCAATCCCTTACCGTAAAAGAAATCCATTATGGTGTTTCTTTTAAGGGGAGGTGGTACACAGTGATGGGCTAAAGTCAAACTTGGGGCTTAAGTCCATTTTCAGTTTTATTTTTAATTAAGAGTTTTATTAGTGTTAGTTTAAAAGTGTATGTGTATGTACACACTTGTGTACTTGGACAATTGTGTGGATCAGTTCTCTTTTCAAGCTTTACATGGGTCCTGGGGATTGAATTCAAGTCTTCAGGCTTTGTTCCAAAAAAATTTCACCCTGCAGAGTCATCTCACTGGGTCTTGAATTCCCTCTCAAGTGTTTATCACTCATTTCAATCTGCAAATTTTCATCCTTGGTCTATAGAACAAGAGTAAAATAAGTGTGTGACAATTTCAAAACTACAAAGGACAGAGAAAACTGATGTCACATCTCCTCTTCACTGCTTTGCACAATGTTGTGAGCAGCTTTTAAGACTGCTTGTCCCTCTCATCCTTTTCAAAGCACAGGGCATCATGTGGAACTCATTCCTGCATACACGAGCTCTCCATCTTTCATACTCAGAAAATTGTGTGGATGCTTCAAACCCTGTGCCTCATTCTCAATTCTGTACCCATTAAGAATAACAAATGACTTCCTGACTTAACTCACTTAAAAAGTCCTTGTGCATGTCTTATTCTTTGGGACCATTCTTTATGGAATCTTCCTTAGTTTGTGTCAGCATCTGTCTTCTTTATGACCATAATGTACTTAACATCCAAGGTTTACATGTCTGCTATTATTTCCAAGCATTTTGAAGGATTAATGAGCTCTCTAATTTCTGGGTATCAAATGCTAACCAGACTATGAATGTACTTGTATGATTCTATAATGATGAATTTTGTGCATATCAAAACTCATAAGATGTGTAATACTAAGAGTAAACTTCAACAAATCATGGGCTTTAGACGGCAATAGTGTATTGGTTCATAGATGGTACTAACTCTCACCTGAGGTATGCTTGGTACTGATAATGAAGAAAGGCTGAAAGAGACACCCAGTGTCTCTAAAATAGTAAAACCCCACTATAAATTTAGCTCATACCGTCACATCTGCCAGCACTACTTTTCTCCATTTTCCTGTTGCAAATTGATGTAAGTGTGGAGTTTCACTATTACTGTTAACAATGCATGCTAATACCTAAAACCAGGAGCTAACTTTCACATGTATATTCTCACATACCTGATGTGTAATGTCTCTGTATATTACCAAAGAATGCTCAAACCAGATCAAAAGCATTTTAGAATCATGATCATATTTAAGGCAACATCCTTCAACTTTGCATTAAATCCAAAACAAGCAGCCATGCTTGTAAGTCCCTATCGTACCTTTAAAGGCATCTCTGAAATGGACAGAATCCAATGTTCAACTAAAATATTTCTAACTTCACTTGTCCTCAAAAACCGTAACTTAAGCTGGGCAAGGTGGCCCATGCCTTTATTCCCAGCCCTTGGGAGGCAGAGGCAGGCAGATTTCTGAGTTTGAGGCCAGCCTGGTCTACAGAGGGAGCTCCAAGACAGCCAAGGCTACACAGAGAAACCCTGCTTCAAAATACAAAACAAACAAAACCATAACATAAGCATTTAGCTCCTTTTAAGTCTTCTAACAGTCTTGAATGCCTTTGTTTTAGTTCAACACAGAATGAACAGGATGCTACAGAATGAAAACCATGGATTGACATTTTTTTAATTTATTGAATAATTCTTAGCTGGGAGAGGAAAGATCACAAGCTTGAACAAGAGTATAGAGAAAAGAACAATTAATTGCAAATTATTACAAAAGTAATTTCTGAAACATTTTTGAGCCACTGCTAAAACAAAACTCAAGTGCATCTTGAAGCTCCTATTTTGATAAATGAACATTAAATTACTCAAGAGCAAAAAGAGAAGTTACTATTACACATTATAAGACCATAATGCACTAATTGAGCAAACCCAAATAAATGGCCACCATTATTCAAAGTTGCTTCTACTATATATTCAGTAACTGAACAAGAATGCAGATTACTTTGAACACAGCACAAGTAACCAAAGGCAGCAAGAATCCAGCAACATATAAACCTGGCATTAAATAGTATTCAAATGGTACAACAAATTGAAATAAGAACTTGTAGAATGACAGTTCTAACTACATGAAAGGAATGTACAGATGGTCAAAATAAATAAATAAAGTGGCAAGAGTGACCAGCACCGCGCCTGCTTGTGAAGAGCAGGCACACAGTAAACAAGGGACGCCTACAGGGCTTGTGCTGCAAATGAGAAAAGCACACTGCACTTGAGTACAGCCCTTCTAATTCCCACAGACACTCTCTACTTCTTGTGTGCTGGTGACAGGCAGACAGGACTTTAAATGGAAAGCATTTGCCCTACCCATGTGTGGACTCTGCATATTTAAACTCTGTGTAAAGATTTCTCTGAAAAATTACAAAATAATACACTGATTAGAAACTGGTGACAGTAGTTGTGGAGAAATAGCAGGCAGCCGCATGGCTCTGGAATCCACTCTGGAGAACAGGCTCCACCACTGTCAAAGCTGCCAGCCATCAGTTATCTTTACTCTCTACACAGTGCATTTAATACACAGAACTCCCACCAGCAAGAGAAACCCTTTGCTAAGCACAAGTATAGTAGTATGAACTCAACTAATTCACATTAAGTATCTTCAGAGATAAACAAAGCGTTTCTCAAAGTACAAAGACACTCTATGTATTCACTGAAGGCTACTGTAACCTTAGCTTTACAACACAAGGAGCCAGCCCATCTCTATTGCCATTTCTCCCGTGGTCTTTTGGTGACATTCCTCTTGAGTGAATCAGGAAATAATTTCCAAAATCAACATTAATAACACATAAAATACAAATGTCATTTAAACTCAACTTAGGAAAAGATGGACATAAAACAAATGTGCTATTTTCGGTGTGAGATCAGTCCAGAAGCTCCTCGGCAGAGGTCTCTCACTTTCTTTCTGTCCATCACAATATGCCTTTAAAATTGGCAAACCAAGAACCAGCTCACTGCACATCACAGTTCTCACAGTTTCCAGTAAAATATATTAGGAGCAGCATGTACATAATGGCAGTATACAATGTTCCAATATAAATATGTCGAGATCTATACGGCGAAGCTACCTCAACAGAGATGCTCCAAAGACTGAACACACAAACAGATGGAGCGAGTCTGGGAAAACCACAGAATGCTTCAAAACAGCTTGCTTTACACTGCACATGGCCCATGGCACGGCTCTACATGCAAACACCTTCTACAGGGAAATGACCCACGCTTATGCTCACCCCGCCAATACTTCTAATGTTCCTGTGTTCCTGCACAGAGCTGACACAAGTGTGAGTCCTACTATTACCGTTACAACTCAGGCCAACACCTCTGACTGTTGTCACTAGGTAGCACTTAAATAAAGAACACTGGGCACAGTGAAGCTTCATCAAAATGACAAAGAAATAGGAACATAAGGGGAAGCTTGCCTCAAATGGATATATTATTAACATAAATAAGCCTAAGCAGTTTCCATTTTATAAAACCAACATTTCCACTTCAAAGTAATTTCAGCTCAGTTTTGCTGTTAATCTAACCAATACGTAAGTACAGTGTGATAGCTCCTTGTACAAGTAGAGTTATAAGTTCACAACTGCACCAAAGCACGCCTGCATTTCATTCCCTGCATTTCCCCACTCTGAAAAATACTTGAGAAAATTTTAGAAAAATGTGTATTTATGGCTGGCTCTGTGTCTCTATGTTAAACTGAGAAAAAGTAGAGTTTATAATGTAGTTTCAAAATACTTAAATTGTTTCTGGACTTAAAGTAAAGGTGAGGCTTTCTCTATAAAATATATTTCTCCACCATAATTACTAATTCAAATTAATGTAAGTGCCCTGGTAGGCACTATGTCTTTGATTCCAGAATCCATTAGTGGAAGAAATGTGTGCAACACTGGCACACACATCATAGACACAACTGAGACAGAACCTCCTGGATCGTCTCACATCAACTTGCAATTTCTAAAACCACACAGTAAGGAATGTGGAGGCCAAAGATGATGTGAGGAAGCATTACCGCACAGTCAGGCCCAGTTCACTGGGGGAGGGGCACCTACTGCGCTAAAAGAAAGTTACCCCTGGGGAAGTGGGAAGTTTTGTTTCGTCTTCAAAAACCAAACACTGAAAATCATTATTAGGCTCCTTTGAGTGTATTTCCACATTAATTTTTAAATTTCCAATGTGTTTTACAACCTGAATTTTCATTTGTGGAATAAGTCAAAAAGACAAAATTCTTACTGCACAATATTTAGACATTTTATTTAATGTTAATGGTGGGTTTCTACCTAAGAAAACACTAAAGTAAAAGAGGATAATAAACTAGTGTGAAGGTTAAAGTTTATTCTTGCACACGTGCTCTCTCACACCTCTCCCCTACCCACTTCTCCTTCTCATTCCAGAATGACTGGCAGCATTAGCAAGTAGCATCACTTGATGGAAGGCTAGGGAAACTCACTTACTCATTTAGGTGTTCACAGAATCCTAAATCACTAATGAGTATGCTAACAAATTAAATGTCTGGGGAAACCTAGAAGTACCCATAGCTGAACTATGGAAATTAAACTGATTTGAATAAACAGTAAAAATTACAAACTTATCCAGAAATAAACAAACAACAAAATATCATCCTCCATTTTCTTTCTTGATGTCAGATGACTTATCATCAGATGCCACTTGTTTTCAAAGGAACAAAATCATCACTTGGGCCAGGCCAGCCGCCTCAGCCCTGTTTGCAGCAGCACTATGTGGATCCAAACAAATGCTGTCAGACAATGCCCCCAGCGTCAGGGTTAGATTCTCCTTCACAGACATTTCTTAGCATCATAACACAAACACATGTATAGAAGAATAAGTAAAGAGAATATTTTGAAAGATTACAAAAGTATGAACTATATACAGTGTGATGACAGAAAGCATTTAAAAGGCTTCTTACTTTCCTCTCAATTCAATTAAAATGTTAATATTCTGTATTTGAGTTTTATCCTAAACATAAGTCATCGGTTTCTTTACTTCCTAAAACAAACAATAAAATATACTGGTCTGGAGTTTGTTCTAGGCATTTTCCAAAAGCCAATCGAACAACGACTTGCATCTTCCCTCACTTGAAGTTTTTTCCAGCACTTCGTAGTATTTAAAGACAGCCTGAAGGACATCTCCCACTCTCCATCCTTTCTCTTTTAATTGTTTTGAAAGCTAAGAAAAAAAGATTAACACACATTAACATGCATCAAGAGAAAAACATGTTTAACAATGAGTTTTCATTTTTATCTCCAGACAAAACAGAACCTTGCTGTTGACAATGAAATACTTGTTCCGAGTTATAAGATCTCCCCTCAATCACCACCCCTGTACCCAAATTAAACATTTTCCTTTCTTGCCTGCCACAGAATGACACTTCAAGACTGTAGGAACAGAAAACAAACCCTGGCAGTGGACGGTCTGTGTGGGAGTGCAGAGCCAAACCGTCTACAGGAAATCCTTCACCTAACTAAATACATCTGCCACACCCTCAATTAGGAACATGAAATAATAACGACATTGTCAAGCTTAATAAAAGGATGTGAATTTTCTTTCCACAACATATAGTGTGGTTTGTATTCCGAAAAATTTTCTGGCCTCAACGGAAACATGGCTTTCTAAGTTAAGAAATGTAATGCTTCAACAAAAAAGCAAGCAAAAAAGTAAATAGGGGTTTAAACAAACTCTACCACAGCAAAACAGAACATGGCCTTACGTGTTTTTCTGTCAACTCAACTCTGTAAGAATTCTTAAGTTAGAAAAGATCTGTAAAATAAGTTCTGAAAAACTATTTTACTGCAGATGTCCTTTTCTTTAAACTGCTTTGAGATAAATTCATTCGCAATGGGTTTCTTTGATATATCAATGAACTGAAGACAACCACCATACAATCAATACTGGAAAGCTCTCTCCTCACACCAGAAGGAAGCCCTTTACATCAGAAGCAACTCTTCATCTTCCCAAACACCTTCAGATAAAGCACTCATGTACTTTGTGCCTTAAAGATCTGCCTACTTTGGGCATTTAATAGCAGGAGAATTGTGAACTCTGTGCATGGTCTTCTGCTTAGTGTAATGATCTTGAGGGTTTACCATGTGAAGCTCAGCTTACTGCCTTACTACTTTTACTAACAAAGTTCCTCTTCTATTCACTAGCTGATGGACAGGTAGGTAACTCTTTTTGTTTTGTTCTGGTTTGTTTGAGACAGGGTTTTACTATGTATCCCTAACTTTCCCAGAACTCCCTATTTAGTCCAGGGTGGCCTCAAACATACAGTAATCCTCCTGCCTCTTCCTCCAGAGTGCTGGGATTATAGCCATGGACATTTCTGCGCAGGGTTTTTGTGTAGACATATGTTTATCATGTCCCCCAAGTGCACACCACCGATCACTGGCATGCTGAATAACATGCTAATACTGTACTTGACATTTTGGGGATCTGTCAGATGCCACAACATCTTCATGATGAAGCCACAACAGCTTCATCATTTTAGATTCTCACTAAGAACTGTATGAAGGATACAGTGTCTCTACATCTTACCACAACTAGTATAACCCACAATTGATAGTCACCCTGCTGGGTGTAAAAGTGCAGTAGTTTTTAAATTGCATTTTCCTGATGGCTAGTAAGGTTGAACACCCTTTCATGCTTTTATTTTCCAAAGAAATGCAGTGTACTGGCTGGCTTTGTGTCAACTTGACAGAAACTAGAGCCATCAGAGAAGGAGACTCAGTTGAGAAATGCCTCCATTTTTTTTTTTTTTTTCAATAAGTCATCAACGGGGGAGAGCACAGCCTATGGTGGACCTGGGTTCTATAAGAAAGCAGGCTGAGCAAGCCAGGAGAAGCAAGCCATGAGCTGCAAACTAGTAAGTAGCACCCCTCCCTGGCTTCTGCATAAGCTCCTGCCTCCAGGTTCCTGCCCTGCTTGAGTTCCTGCCCTGACTTTCTTCAACAGTGAACAGCAATATAGAAGTATAGCCCAAATAAACCCTTTCCTCCCCAACTTACTTTTGGTAATGGTGCTGAAACATTACAGCAATAGAAATCCTACCTAAGACATGAAGTAATAACTCTTAGTCCTTTTTTTAAGTTAGACTATGTGCTAGGACTAAGAACTTTACCAGATACACAACTGCAAATATTTCCTTCTTATATGCATTGTCTTCTCACTTTGTTGACAGTGTCTTTCAGTGTAAGTCTTTAATCTAGCTTTTCTTTTACCACATATATAACTATGTTTATATCTTCTAGACATATAATCGTATGTCATCTTCCATTCATCCTTAAGGTAATACTGTTTGTTCTACTTAATTAATAGTGAAAATATCAAAATTAAATGTATGACCCACAAAGACATAAAGTATTTCTATTATTCTCATTACCACCAAACATAATCTGAACTTGCCTCTTAAATGTTTCATATATCCTCAGAAGTCCTGTTATATAATATATATAAATGTAATATCTATCTATATATAAAATAGTGGCCCTGTCCTAGTTAGACACGGTCTCTGAGGGTCATTATTTAAAATCAGCCATATTGTTAAAATAAGCCACAAGCATAATAAAACCTTGCCATCCACAACTGACCATTGCACTTGACTCAGTCAGGCAAAGATCCCCGGGTTACTTTACATGATGGTAAGGTCTCCTCTGACAGCCATCTGTCAACCCCGGCCAAGGCTTACCTTAGGCCTCAGTTCTAACAATTCCCTAACCCACATTTCCATTTGATAATTCATTTCTTGAGCATCTCTTCCAAGACTATTTTCTCTCCTACAAACAGAAGCCTCAAGCTAATAAACCCCAGTCTAAGTAAAAGTCAATGTCAGAATGTTCACATCCTTCAACAATATCGTCATAAATTCTGAACCAGTAAAAAAGAGCAACGTGGGTTTTCCTTTTCTGTCTTTATTGCTAGATCTACATTGGTTATTTACTGACTGTTCTACATTCTATGGTAAGATTAATATAAATTTTCGTAAGGAAAACCAAGGGAAGAACACTCTTAAAACTATAAGCTGAAAAATCCCTATTAACAGTATGCTTGACACATACTAAAAAACACTCAAGAAAAGTACCTTATCTAAGTTTTTATTAGTTTTTCATTATACCAGCATCCATTTGCATAAGGATGAGAAAGACCTCATTAATTGGGTACAACTGTAAAGAGACTAGCTGGTTCTTTTCTTAAGAATCCATTAGCTGTTTATTACTGACATCTAAATTTAGGGTTAGAGCATTAGATCAAGCACTTTCTTTTTACAGTATTATAATTAATCCTCACAAACCTGCAAGGTAAATCCTATATTCTCTAATCCCACAAGGCAACTAAGAAAACTAAGGCATTCACTGACTCATCTGTCCAAGGTTACACCTTCTGGACATCTGAACACCATCTGTGAGACTCCACAGCCTATATATTAATTTGTGCAATCAGCAAGCATTGTGCTAAACCAACAATGAGGTAAGATTATCACAGTGTTAATATTTCCTCACAACTGCACTAGAGGGGAGGTACTTACTAATATAAACTCCTTCTTCGAAGAGTCCTGGAAATAAAGTTCTTCAACTTCAGCCTCAGAGGCCACGAGCCACTGAAGAAGAACCCTTAGCTGAGGATCTACTGCTCCCGGCTCCAGGTCAATGTTCACAATTAGCAGCGTCTTCCCATTTTGTCGCAAATCTAACAGTAAATTTAAACAATATGAAGTGAATTTCATCAACTCAAGTTTCAAAACTCTGGTTTCAATTAAAAGATTCCAGCGAATGCTTTCCTTAATACTAAATAAAGCATTTCCTAAGGACAAAATAATGCTAACTCAAAGAAATAACGTTGACTATTTACTAATGAAACAATTGTAAAGTACTGTCTGAAGTGAATTTAAATGTAATACAAAAAGGCAGTGCTCTCAAGTTTATTTTCTTGTTAATGAGAATGATGCTTTCAACACAAAGGAGATATCCAAGCTGGCTGATGGAGCCTGTGAACCAACATCATGTTCAATACTCCTGCTTAAGGATGACTGAGTACAAGAAGTTAGGGTGTGCTAACAGTCCCCAAGCCAGTATGTACTAACGACAGAAATATTGATGGATTTCTTTGTTGTTGATGGACATCTTTCTGTTACAGTATATAAGGAACTCCAGACCACTACTAATCATTTTTAGAATTTGTGTTGGCCCTTTATTTTTAATGTGAAAATTTTGATCCTTGGTATTCTCATGTATTTTTCTTTTCTCTCCTTTTGTGCCAGTTAGTCTCAATCAAAAGTAGGTCTACTGTATGTTTTCTTTCATATGCAGAATCAACATTGAAAATTACTTATGTGTATATATGTACATATACACATACACATGTATGTTTGTGGGGGCCATGAAAGTAGATGGAAGACACCTGAGAGAAAAGGAAAAAAATCTTAAGGGTAAGGGAAGCAAGGGTAATGGGAGTCAAGTGACATGAGCAAATGGGAAGACTATGTGATGGGGAAGGACCAGCCAGAGAGCAGCACAGGAGAATGAGGAACAATGAGAGACAGGAATGAGTAAGAGGAAAGTATAATGATATACATCCAGAAAACATGAAATCCATCCATCACTTTGTATGCTAAACATCAAAAATTAATTTAGGAAATGGCTTGTATATCTATTTACTTTAAAAGAGGTCTGATATACTTTGGAACAAGACATAGTGTCTAAGGCCCTTAGAAAGCCCTGCAATATTTCTGGAGTTGGAAGCTAAGCCATTTAAGTTTCTCCACACTGCTAGGATTTCCTCACTTAGGACCTGCTGGTTGCCTGGCCTGATGAGAAACTTTAACAGAGATTAGGGCTAATACCTCCTAACCAAAACAAATAGAAAGAAAAAAAGGGAGGCTTAAAAAACAGATACCTGTTATTGTAGAAACTGCCTCATTTTTGAGGCTTTCTGTAAATCTAAACCAATCTATCTTCTAATTTATGGAACAAATTTAAAAGTTTGCTGTAACATTGTATATGAGAGATGCCTATCATGTCAAGAGCTCAGGAATGGCACAACTGTATATAATTAACTTCCTGGTTTCTACATATTAATAGAAAAAATTCTCATGCCTACTGATAAATTCTTTTAATGAATTATTTTATTTATATTAACTTATATCTCTTTTCTTAATCATTCTTCAGCAAAGGTAGTTAAGTAATAACTAGGTAATAACTAATAATAGTATCTAAGTAAAAACACGGCATGCATGTATACATGGATAGCCTTTGAAATAATGGTATTCATGAGAGTTACTAGGGAGAAATATATGACTTTTAAAGACCAACACATTAATGAGCAAAAGTAAACCAAACATTACCTAGAAAAAGCACTAATTCATTTATTTATTTTGATTTCTGACACAGTGTTTCTCTGTAGCTTTGGAGGCTACGCTGGAACCCAGGCTGGCCTCGATCTCACTGAGATCTGCCTGCCTTGCCTCCTGAGTGCAGGGATTAAAGGCATGTACCACCAGTGCCTGGGGCATCACTAACTCTAAAAATTATAATAAGGGCTGGAAAGATGACTTAGTAGTTAAGAGCACTGGCTGCTCTTGCAGAAAAGTCGTTTGACATTCAGTACTCACGTGGGTAGCTCTTAACTGTAACTCCAGTTCCAGGGGAACCTGATGCTCCCTTCTGACATACTACACAGATAGATGTAGACAAAACATCCATTTGCATAAAATAAAGACAGACCTTTAGAAGTATTTACATAGAATACTCTGGGTTAGTGGGATGGCACAGCTGAAGGCACTTGCTGCCAAGCCTGACAACCTGAGTTTGAATAGTAGGTTCCACATGGTAGAAGGAGAGAACAGACTCCATGTGAGATGCCTGAATAGGGGCATGTGTTCACAGGTATGCACACACATGCACATGCACTCACACAAAACAAATAAATGTAATATAAAATTTTTTACATAGCAGTAATTTTGAAACTGAGAGTTTCAGCTTAACAACTATTATGTAACTTCCCTGAACAAGAATACTGTGGATAAACTGGCTGAAAACTCAGGGGTTGTATCCTATATCTCAAGAAATTCTCTTTAACATTTTGTCAGTGTCTCAGTGTGCCTACATTTTTGGTGTGAGGGTACAGTTTTACTCCCAACATAGAAAACACTAAGCCATCCCTAACCCTCAGGTTTCCTATTTCTAAAGAAACAACAAAATTTCAAAATTCCATTGTTTTTTCCCTCTGAGTTGTACTCCACTGTGTAAATGTACCACATTTTCTCTATCCATTCTCTGGATGAGGGACATCTGGGCTGCTTCCAGTTTCTATTACAAATAGTGCTGCTATGAACATCGTTGAACAGATGTCTTGTTGTATGAATGTGCTTCTTTTGGGTATATGCCTAGGAGTAGAATTGCTGGATCTTGTGGTAGACTGATTCTCATTTTCTTGAGGAGTGGCCATACTGATTTCCAAAGTGGCTGTACAAGTTGGCACTCCCACCAGCAGTGGAGGAGTGTTCCTCTTTCTCCACATCCTCTCCAGCATAATCTGTCATAGGTGTTTTTGATTTTAGCCATTCTAACAGAAGATGGTATCTCAGAGTTGTTTTGATTTGCATTTCCCTGATGGCTAATGATGTTGAACACTTTCTTATGTGTCTTTCAGCCATTTCAGATTCCTCTATTGAGAATTGTCTATTTAGTTCTGTACCCCACTTTTTAACTGGATTATTTGGTGTTTTGGTGACTAACATCTTGAGTTCTTTGTTTGTTTTTTTCTTTTGGAAATCAGCCCTCTGTCAGATGTGGGATTGGTGAATATCTTTTCCCATTCTGTGGGCTGCCATTTTATCTTGTTGACTGTGTCCTTTGCCTTACAGAAGCTTCTCAGTTTCAGGAGGTCCCATTTATTGTCAATTTCAGTGTCTGTACTACTGGTGTTATGTTCAGGAAGCAATCTCCAGTACCAATTCATTCAAGGGTACTTCTCACTTTCTCTTCTAAGAGGTTCAGTGTGGCTGGATTCATGTTGAAGTCTTTGATCCATTTGGATCCATTTGTGCATGACAATAGATATGGATCAATCTGCAGTCTTCTACATGCCAGCATCCAGTTGTGCCAGCACCATGTGTTGAAGATGCTTTCAAATAGAAGAAACCATCCTCAGTGTGGTAACTCAATCACAAAAAGACAAACATGGTATGCACTCATTCATATATGGATTTTAGACATAGAGCAAAGGATTACCAGCCTACAATCCACACCACCAGAGAAGCTAGGAAACAAGGAGGACCCTAAGAGAGACATACATGGTCCCCAGAGAAAGGGAAAGGGACAAGATCTCCTGAGCTAATTGGGAGCATGGGGGAGGGGAGAGGGAGTTAGGAGAAAGAGAAGGAGAGAAGAGGAGGACATGAGAGAGCAGGAAGATTTAGTCAGGGGAAGAACAGAGGAGTGCAAGAAAAGAGATACCATAATAGAGGGAGCCATTATAGATTTAAAGAGAAATCTGGCACTAGAGAAATGTCCAGAGATCTACAAGATTGACCCTAACTAACAATCTAAGCAATAGTTCAGAAGTTACCTTATATAACCTTCTCCAATAATGAGATTGATTTATATCCTAGAGCCTTCATCCAGTAGCTGATGAAAGCAGAAGCAGACACCCACGGCTAAACACTGAGCTAACTCTGGAATCCAGTTGCAGAGAGCAGGGAGTGATGAGCAAAGGGGTCAAGACCAGGCTGGAGAAACCCACAGAAACAGCTGACCTGAACAAGGGGTTGCTCATGGACCCTAGACTGATAGCTGAGAAACCAGCATAGGACTGTTCCAGACCCCCTGAACAAGGATGTCAGTTAGGAGGCCTGAGCAATCTATGGGGCTTCTGGTAGGGGAACAGTATTTATCCCTAGTACACGAATGGACTTTAGGTGCCCACTCCACATAGAGAGATACTCTCTCAGCCTAGACACACTGGGGAGGGTCTAGGCCCTGCCCCAAATGATATGACAGACTTTGAGGAATCCCCCATGGAAGGCCTCACCCTTTCTGGGGAGCAAAAAGGGGATGGGATGGGAGTCAGTGAGGGGCAGAGGATGATGGGAGGGAGAGGGAACTGGGATTGACATGTAAAACAAGCTTGTTTCTAATTTAAATTTAAAAAAGGAAAAAAAACCAAAAATTCACTAGTTCAAAAATAATTATATTAAACAGTATTTTTAATTCAAATGTGCTGTTTTATAGAAAGTATTATCATTTTCACACTTTAAAAAAGATACGAGGAGGACATTCAAAAACTATCTAAATACAATGAAAACAGGTTTGGCGTGAATGAAGTCTCTAGGCTCACTTGGATATTTCAATATATGAATTAAGATGGTAAACCATGTTCAAAACTCCGTAGCCAATGATAGCCAGTGTTCACTAAAGGAAGGACTATTTCCTTCACATGTGTATGTGTGAGTACAGGATCAGAAATAGAAGAGGGAGGAGGGCAGTGGCATTTAAAGCGCCTTTCTGTGTTTACTTTTCAGCTCATCTAAGTTTGACAGAAATACTAAATGGTAAGGTACAGAAGTGACAGAGGCAAGTAACTAAGGGTGGACCTCCAAGTAGAATAACCTTCTGTTCCTGCTGGTTTCCTGCCTGCCTGCCCCTCCTCCGGCCACATTTCCCACTGACATGCTTCCCTGCCTGAAACTCTTTCCCTTTCTGCAAGCACTGTGTCACAGCTACAGGAAAAGTAATGTACAACTAATTACAGAGTCATAAATAATATGCTATAATTATAAATTATTTTTGTAAGGCGAATAAGGATTTTAGACTTAAGTTTGAAAAGAAAACATATCCTAGGGTGATTTGTGGTGTTTGATGGCAACAATCGAAAACCTATCTATACTCGGCATAAATACAAACCATAAGACTTACACAAACAAAGGTTTAGAGAAACAAACTGTGACTAACCTTCCGCACCATCCTCTTGATCGTCATCTCTATCGTCTGGTTCATCACTTTTCAAAGAAAACAACACAGGTAGTTAAAAAAAAAAAGATTAATTAGTAATGGATTAAAATCACTTCTCAGAATAGTATTAAGGAATGAAATGTTACAATATGACATGTGACATTTAGAAAGGAGAAAATGACAAAGGAAGCTTTGCTTCTCACATTATTTCATGTTAAAATCGGGATTGCACACAGTGCCTACAGAAGCCCTTCCTTATCATGACATTTAAAGCCAAGCTACTTCAAATGAAGGTGAAATATTCTAATTTGGTTTTAAGTAATATGCTATTTGAATATCATAGAATGTCATGAATAATGAAGTAGTACTGCTTCTACTAATGCCATTTAATATGTTTAAAACAATTTTTCTCTTATTATATATGAAATTAAACTATACAGGAAAATAAAACAAAAAAGAAAACAACAGAAATCCTGTAGGAAGCAAGCTCTTTTTAATGAAATCATTGATAGAATGAAAAATAGCAAGCAGAGCAATTCATGCAAACAGTCATACATTTTGCAATTAGATGTCAGTCATATTTTAGCCAGTTGAAATTTTCATTGTATGTAAATGTATTGAGCAGAATCATGTCAAAATTCAGGAGAAAAGCAGGTTGATACATATTGGCTCTCTTAAGAACATGACATCATGCATTAGTGGTGAAAGAAAGACTCATCAGTTTTTAAGTGTCTAAACTGGACCAACCTGTCTGATGTTGGAAAGGATAAATTGTCCTCATACAAATCTCCTTCTAAACCAAGACTGCTCCAGCTACTGCTGTTACCATTACTGCTGGAGGGAGAAAAGAACAGAGCTGAACTAGAAAACGAATAGTGAAGACTACCTGTGTTTCCTTGGGACAGCTTCTGTCCTAAAGCCGTCACAGTGGAGTAGAGCATCCACAAAGGAGACAAGAGACTGTCACTGCTATTCCATAAAGGATAGATAATTGACAGGGCTGCAGAATTGACCCTAACTAACAATCTAAGCAATAGTTCAGAAGTTACCTTATATAACCTTCTCCAATAATGAGATTGATTTATATCCTAGAGCCTTCATCCAGTAGCTGATGAAAGCAGAAGCAGACACC